AACAGTACTGCTGCCAGCTTCTCGCTTCCTCTGCTTCCTCTCCCTCCCCGCTTCCTCTCCTACTGTTTTCCCCCCCCCACTCAACTGTCACCATGCTCAGGTCACCCAGGCCTCAGCAGCAGAGTTGAACTTGGTCCGGGCAGCCTGCCTGCTCCCATTTGGGCCACAAATCAGGCTGAAGTCAGCACACACACACACAGATACACTCAAACTGTAGGCCCTTTCCCTGCCCACACGTGACAGCCTGCCGCTCTGAGGCCCTGCCACATGCCGCTACTCACAAGCTTGGCACTGTATCCTCTTTTCAGTTCATTTGATGGATAGTCAGATACAGTTATACAGACCAGTTGGGCCTTGCATTTGCTTTTGGCAGCTGAGGTTTGTTGTTGTTTTTTTTTTGGTTTTTTTTTTTTAGTATTTCATGATTTCAGAGGTTGCTTATAGCTGTAGGTAAAAGCTAGGTCACTGTAAAATGTTAACTATAGGTGTTATCTATGTCTGTGAGCATTGTACCTACAGAGCCTGCCTGTGTCACTGGGGGATGTGCGATGAGAAAAGACAGAAGACAGCCTGTCTTTAAAGCGTGAGCTCTAATTATCCCCCTGAAAGTTGTAGAGATCAAGCAAGCAGGGGTGAAAGAGCAAGGGAGGAAAGTTTATCTAAAACTTTTTTTTTTTAAGAAAAACATCAACACTGGCTTAGAATTGGGTTTAGATGTGTGACATGTACACCCCCTCCCTCCCAAAACAAAACAAAAAACACGATCAGCTGATCAGAATCACAATCAGCTGACGGCCATAAAAATGTTTAGACAACTGAAAGACTTGTTGAAGGCATTTAATTGTACTTACAGAAGGTAATTACTTTATATTGTGATATATTCATTATAATTCAGAGATAATTTTATATGGACAGCTGTTTTGAATACTTTTTGTTACCTGATATAAAATACACATTTTGTGTTGTTGCTGATGAGGCTATATTGGCCTTTTTTTAAATTCAGACACTGCACACTGATTGGAGGGGGGGGATTTGACTCAAATAAGGTTAGAAGTTAAATGTTTTGAAAAAGTGCAGGTGTATTTACAAGTGTAAAATTGATCATCACTTTTTTTGTGCTTCATGTCCTATTTTTAAGACCCTCTTTGTCCTCTGCTCTCTATCTTTCCACTACATCACAGTAATTTCCCGTCACAAATAGACCCAGATGCTCAAAAAATGATGGCCCACTATGGTAGATGGTACATTGCTGTTAATTCACTGTCTGGAAAATCTGTGGTGTCACTGGGTTCGTTGCCTATTGATTTTCTAAAGAAGAAAAAACAAAAACCAAAAAAACCAACGTGCTTTTGTTAGATGATACGGCACCATTAAACCTATTTTCTTTTTGTTTGCATCATGTTCCTCTAATAAATCAGATGCATGCAAGCGTCTTGTCTGGAAGAGTGGCTGTATTTGGGGTATAGAATTATCTTCTCACTTCCTCTTGTGCGAACTTAATAAAAACTGTATCGACCGAGCAACGGGAATACCACATGCTGTAATAGCAAACTGGGGAATTACTCAAAAGTATAGCCTGTGTGTGTGTGTCATAAAATGCAGAAACTCCCTGCACCCCTGACTGGTGTTTAAAATTTGAGTGGATGGAGAACATTGCTTTTATGTTCACATCAAAGTGTAATTGTAGTGTTATGACAGTTTTTGGTTTCGGTCCTCCTGTTCCTATAAATGTTTTCCCTGATCCACTTCTGCTGGTCTAAACTGCCGTGGAATTACCACTGTCCCGTTATTGACCTTCATGAAGGGCTGAACATCACTGGCATGTTAAGTGATCATGTGAAGAGGCTGTTAGTCGTGTTCCCTCGACAACACACACAGACATTATTGTCCCTCTGCAGGCATTGTCACCAACTTCTGCTTATACAGCCAACCTGCTGAGTGAAAGCGGTGTCTATCGATCCATGGCGACACGCTGCTGTAATGCGTGTGCGAGAGTGTGTGTGTGTGTGTGAGAGAGAGAGAGATCGTCCGGGCTTCTCTTAGCTCCAGATCAATACTGTCCTGCTGTCCCCCAGGAGGCTTGATGAGAGCCCAGAGAAAGCGAGAACAACCTCGACTCAGTCTTCCATGGCATCACATTAAATGAAATGCCACCAACAAGCTCTCTGGTGATTAGCAAGCTTCACATAATGCATGAGCAAAATTAAAAGTAACACTTTCTCTGTTTCTGTAAAGCAGTAGTGAACAGGAAATACAGTCATGTAAGAAGTCTGGAGGCAAGACGGAAGACAAGGTTTGCACTTGATGTGTGTGCTTGGCTGCAGATGGTCTGCAATAGGAGTTTATGAGGATCGTTTTCTTTTCATATGGTAAAGAGGCCTATGACAATATTTGAATGGTGGAGGGATAATTTGCCTTAGAGTTTAAACTTGGACGGCGTGAATGGTATGCATGCGTACTGTGTACTAAAGAGAAGGGGACAGCAGCACAGCTTAATGGGCTGTCACATCCCTCAGTGCACACCTCAACACACTGACCCACTTTGGCTCTCTGACTTTGGCGCATCTGCGGCATGCTTTTGAAACGCATCAAGCCCCACTTCTGCTAGGCAGAGCAGAAAGCACATGTCTGTACTGAGCATGTAGACCGTGACGAAGAAGAGGTACTGCAGTTTTTATCATGAAGCACAGCGGAGGAGAAAAAGACTTGTTTTCAAATGATTGTGCGCTTCAGAGGAAATGCTTCCATTATTGTTTGCTTGCTAACAAGACCTCCCTTAGAGAGAGAGAGAGAGAGAGACACACACACACTCTTAATGTTTAATAGTGAGAACAGATTGAGAAGCGATGCTTGGCCTGCAGGACTGTTGGGTGTCAAAGAAAAGGCCTTTAGTTCTTTAGACGGAGACTGGCAGGGTTGGCTCAGTGTTTCTGTTAACACTAAATGCGACACAAGTCTCGTGTGATCCTTTATTCAGTCTCACAGCTTGTGACCTTTCCTCGATCACACAGATCTGTGTTTGTCCTGTACATACCCATTGTGCTCATTTCCAACTCCCTCTTTTTATTCTTGGACTTCACTGGAGTAGCTTTACATGATTGTTCTAAAGAACTTTTTTGTTTTGTTTTTTTTAAATTTAAATCTTACCTTGAGTGCCCCCCCTCCCAGTTTATCCATTGTCTGAAACAAGCCTTTTTAGCCCTGTTCCTATGATAGTTTGCACCTTACTTTCTTCTTCTTATTGTAAGCATACATACAACAAAAGTAAAAAGGACACATATGTGAGTCAACTCTCTGCATGGAGTATTTTAATGCCAGGTGTTTACTGTTTCCATGATGCTGGGCCATCTGGGATGCACTGCTACAGATTTGTCATGGGTGTCTTACACAAAACATCTTACATCTAGAGCAGTTCCATGGGTGTACTGAGTTGCAGCCACCCCCATGTATATATCATATTTTCGCCAGATTAAGACGTGGAACTTTCCGTGCTTCTAACGAATGAATGACTAAAATAATCTGATTATCAATAGTTGATAAATCTTCGTTTCTCTCTCCACTCCCACAAACTATCACGTGCAGCGCAAACCCTCAGATTTATTTATCTTAGTGTATGTTTGCATTTCTTACTAATCAGTGCTTCCAGCTTGAATATATAATGCTGCCATAAAATAAGGTTGTGGTGAGGATTAAAAGGACAGGAGATGAGCAGTTTAAGCAGGACCTAGGACATGTCAAATGGAGGTCATGGAAGACCTGTTTTCATGGCTGCTGGAGGTAGGAATGTAAAAGGTCAGTGCACGATGTGGAATGCGTTGTCACGTGCACAGATACGCTGGCATGTGCATGATGACAACACACACAAAAACACTCGCTAATACGCATTATGCCCTTCAGTACTGAGGCAGCCTGGGCCTTTTGTGTGTGAACTGCAGTATGTGAATGTCAGAAGGTAGTCTGGAATTCAGTGAATACAAGGAGGGAGAGGCAGCCAATTCACAGAGCAAAGTCTGATTGAACGCCACTTGCTATGCAGTCTTATGAGTCACATTTAGCTTAACGACACATCCTCTCCTGCAAGCTCCAACACGAGCAGTTCTACTTTCTGTCACTCGTCCTCTTCTTATTCCAGTCGTGCCCTCTGCAAGGCTCGATGTTGAGACGTCAGCCCGTCTTGTTCCCAGACACACACCTGTACCTTATTAGTGCGCGCACGTTTTTCTGCCAGCTGACATTATAAACATTCCCTGGGCTTGAACCTCAGAAAGCCCAGCATTATGACACGCCTATGTGGAAATGTGCTGTGTCACCAAACACAGCACATTTCAGCTCAGCTGACTGTCAGGTGCGGCAGACACAAGGCCATTTAAATCAGGAGCACCAGCTAGTTGGGATTGGATAGGGTAAGGCAATGAGTCAGAAGTGATTGTTAATAGCGGGAGGTGTGGATGTCGGAA